TGCAAATCATCACTCCATTGTGCCTGAGGACGTCCTAAACTATGTTTGCCTAGACGCGGTCTCCACTTCAGAACTCGTCTACCCCAACGGTTATCGGTTCTTCGGCAAATATATTGCAATATTCCAGTCTCAAATGTATAAATTGTCCTTTTTAGGCTTGTCAATTATGATTAACAGCGTGAACATATCTTAATAGTTAGTGTGCTTTAGATATTTTACTAGCCATACTGAGACGCGTTGATAGAATTAAATGATTAATTTAGTGTTGGCTCATTCTGTGAGTTGCTTAAATTCAATGCACACAGACTGAAAATGCAAACCATTGCACCAATAAAATCCTCGTTTCGTTAATACAGGCACTATTGTATAACAGAAAAGTGATGAACAGTGGATAAATGTTTCAGCTTACACCTATGTGAATGTAGCAAAATGGCCAAGCCACATAATATTATGACTGAGGTGTAGAGTTTGGGAAGCGTTGTAGAGTAAGGGTGTGTAGTGTGAGAGGCTTGGCTCTTAATGAGATCTGATAACTTTTTTACAGTGCGAGTCATATGATCTCATCTTGGCAACATTTTACATGAAAATGATTTTGGTGGAATCCATTATACTCTGAGATTATACTGTTCATTGACAATGTCTAGAAAGAGAAAAAAAACGGACGTGTGCTTTTCACATGCGATAGAAGTTTAACCTACAATAAAGTGAACACGTAAGTCCTTCATGATGATGGGTACTATAAAATACTGGGCAAAATTAAAATTTCTATACTTAAAAAAAAACAATCCCTTAATAAAAGAAAAAAAAACAGACCTTGATATTTCAACAATCTACTAAAATTTAATTATGAACACTACTTAAATGATGTTCTTGAAAGCAGCTCAAACTATTTTAGCTAACGAAAAAGGGTATAAGACGCATAACAATTCAAAGGAATGAGGTTAAATCAGATAAAGTCAAAACGAAAATACTTATACAGTTGGAATAAGAAAAATAGAGTCGTTCGTATAGAATAGGATATTTAGTTCGTATAGATATAGCCCTACTTAAAGCTTTGTTAATATTTTTAGAACAGAATAGAAATATTTTTATTGCTCTCACAGTAATACGTAGTTCAATAAATTGTACAATGCGATATGACAGCGTGAAGAGCAAATGGATGTGGCGCAGCACAAACTGCTTCATTACGGAAGGACTCGGGCAGCGCTGGTTTTCAACCACACCCACTTCTCTTTAAATGAAAGACGAGACATGCAAAAGAGATCCAACAAAAGTAGGTTGCACTCCTACGGTCAGATTGTGTGTGTGTGTGTGTGTGTGCATGTGTACGTGCGAGTGTGTATGTGTGTGTACGTGCGTGTGGGTTATACTTTGTTTCTATGTATGTGTGAACGTATGAGCGGGTGTATACGCGTTTATCGCGGGTATTTATCTACAAACTATAGGTATAAAGAGAGGTAAGTAAAAATAATGTAAGCATAAATGCTTATGTGCCTTATGTCCATCCGTAAAGCGGATTCCCACTAAAGTGGGAATATACGAATTCATGTCGTCCGCGATCCCGCCGTCCCATTATGCAGATATCTGTTTATTTATTTATGGAAACTTGGTGTAAAAATTAATAAATTAATAATAGTGAGACAGTATACAATGCATTAGTGGCGGGTTGCTTAATAAATAGACGCAAATACCTTTAATTATATTAAGTGACATCTATTTATTTATGTAATTTGTAATTTTTATATATTTTACGTCATATCGCTTAATATCAAAGAGCATAGTTTATTGTAAGTTACATCTTTATACTAATTTTCTTAACTAGTATTTATTTCCGTCAGCTCCAAATTGTGAACTCTGTCTGCGTATTATATGTAGTTCGAATTACAAGCGGAAGCTACAGATAGACTGATTGTGTTTTGAAGTGAAAACTTCGTTAGCATCGTTGTGATTTCACTATTAGTGACATAGCACTTTAATACACGCGTTTACACCAGCTCAGATTCGGTTTATTACCGACTAGTGGCCCGCCCTCGCTTCGCTTCGGTGTAGAGCTGTAGTGTAGACTATAGTTTTTGTTTTCAGGCTTGTATTACACACAATGACATTCTTCTAATACCTAATTACAATAGGCACGCGCCGCCAAGCCCCCCGCCCGGTAGCGTCGGAACCGCTATGTCACTGCATTTTAAATCTGTAATTTCTTTGAAAATATTCATTTAAATTACATGCGTTAAAGGGTCTATATTAAATGCACAATGTATTTGAGGTACTTAATTGGATAAGGATGAATTTTATTTTGCTAAAAATCGCTTCGTAAATAATCTATTATTTCTCGTAAAAAGTATAGGATAATAAATGGTTATTGTGGGTTATCTCTAAAAGATAGACAGACGTACATCGCGGACTTTTTTGTAGACCTTTTTAAGGTGTACAATACTGTACATTATTTTGATCTATCGCGTAGGGTTCAGCCAGCGTTTGCAATGTAAGCGCAAAAAAATGTATTTATATACGACCTCAAATTAAAAACCTCTAAAATTATCAGTATTTGTCTACTATGTAATGGATGTTTTATACATATAAACCTTCCTTTTGAATCACTCTATCTATTAAAAAAACCACATCAAAATCCGTTGCGTAGTTTTAAAGATCTAAGCATACATAGGGACATAGGGACAGACAGCGGGAAGCGACTTTGTTTTATACTATGTAGTGAGTGATAAGTACTGGCCGGTGGTTCGGTCTCTGCCCCGAATCCAAATTCAACGAGTCCGATAGCCAATAATTATGTACATCGGAAGTCGTCGATTAAAAAAGAGTCAAGCCACGACTTTTACCTTCCTACAAACACAAACCCCTCAATGAACATTACATTTAATGTGAAAAAACACCATCAATCTTTCTACCACCCCATTTACATTGTATGCTATGAACACCTGGCGTTTTCCATGACGTTCATTCTTTGAACTGCTTCTATTTTGTACGGTGATTGAAACCATTTATGTATATGATACAATATAGTATGCGTTATGGATCATATAGCCAGTGACGACATGAATTAATGTAAAAAATAACGATTAAAACGTTGAACACGGTTTTTTTCTAAACTATACTAAAAGCCTAATGCTGTAGTTTTTCATAAGTCTTCTTATCATTTTGTGATTAACGCAGGGTATTGAATGTAATATTACTTTTCAACATGTCTACTGCATTATTATATCACGAAATCAATATTGATTTCGTGATATAATATATATATATATATGTATATATACGAGTAGTAATACCATTCAGTCTGTGTAGGTCTTAATGTTTTTATCGTTCAAAATGAAGCACCAATTAAGCCCAGTCTTGAATCTTATGGGGTTTTGGGGTAACATACAAAAATACATAGGTATTATTATCATATATTTTTTCGGTTATAAAAAGTACTAGTATAATTATTTAAGGCAAAAAACATTTTTTCTTTCTTTCTATGTAATACGATTTTTTATTTATATATCATAAACTGCCCTTACTTCTCAAGAAATGCTCGTGCCTGTCAAAAACAAAAATTTGCCCCACCAAAACTCGAACCCAAGATGTCTTAATAGGCGTTGTAACAACTTGAAAACCGGTGTACCTAGCCACGGTAATATTATAATATTACCGTGACCTAGCCCTCCCCGACGGTGTTTGTCAACTGTAATAAGTACTACCCTAACTTTTGGCAGTTTTGCTTCAATTGGCGATTGGGTTTCCAGGGTTCTAGGGTAAAGGACAGGCCGAGGTTAACGAGACATTGGAGGGGGGGAAATTAGCTGCGCCTTGTTTGAAATCAACATACTCCAACTTGACACTTGACTGCTGCACATTTATTTTATAACATGCAATTTCATACACTAAATTACGATTTCGCACAATTAGTTATTTCAATGTCTTTTTTACATTTGCTTTAGAAAATTATTTATGGAGGTTGTATATATTGTTTGAAAGTTGAAAATTATGAACCATGTAATGGAGAGTTCGGTAAAACATTTTAACGCACACCCCCATACATGGCGCCGTGCGTATCCTTTACGTTTTTTTTAATTGCAATGGAATCTTAATGTAAGCGCTTTTAAACAATACCTTTGTCTCACTTTAATACTAAAAAGAAAATTAACGCCATTTGGAAATGCGTGCATTTTTCTTATTAGAAAAAGTTTGCTTCATATTAGGTTGGTATACTGTTTTCTCGCAATGACATTCGTGTGGAATTGGTATTTACAAATTCGTGACCATGGTAAGCCCTCGACTTATAACCAGACTACCGCCCTAAAATCATATATAACTACTAGCGGCCCGCCCTCGCTTCGCTTCGGTGTAGAGCTGAAATGTAGACTACAGTTTTTGTTCTCAGGCTTGTATTCTACACAATGACATTCATCTATGATTCTTCTTATACCTGCATGCAAAGTCTCAGCCCGATCGGTTTAAAATTGACAAAGTTTCATACAAACTTTCATTCCCTATTTTATCCCCTTGGGGGTAGAATTGATCAAAATCCTTTCTTAGCGGGTGCCTACGTCGTAACATCTACCTGCATGGCAAATTTCAGCCCGATCCGTCCAGTGGTTTGGGCTGTGCGTTGATAGATCACTATGTCGTCAGTCATCTTTGAGTTTTATATACATATATAGATAGATTTCAATTTTTTACAGTACAGCCAACGATATTAATATCGTTGAGAGTATCGTACAGCGCTCTTAAGATCAAGCCTCGTAATTTTTTGAGCTAATGCTATAAGGACAGCGGCGCTCTCTTGCGCACAGTTGTTGAATAAAAAAAGACCTTTGACACTCGAAGAATTTGCATAAAAGAAATGTTCTGGCATTGTTGACTCTTTAGATATCTTAATAATTATAACTTTTAAGAACTAGATGTGCGATTTCTTGTTAATTGTTAAATATGCCTATGGATTAAATTTTGGCGTGTAACGATGTTTTGAAGTTTAAGTACCCTATATACTGTGTCAACAGGGACCATGGTGAATAATGGAGGTGTCCGTAGTCGGGGCCGTCATCGAGCCCGTATGCTGATGATTCCTGGGCGACCCTTGCGACAATCAAAAGGTGAGAAAACTTTTCTAATTTCATCATCATTAAGCTGATTAATGTCTACATTGCTGGGGTGCAGATCTTCCCTGAGTACAGAATAGGAAGACTAGCCATATCCATCACATATGCTCAGTGCTAATGATTTTTTTTATGTTAAAAAAGCGTGCAAACAACCGTATGGTCCGCCCAAAATTATTATTCGCGTCGTTGCCTATCCTGACCCAATCTCCTACCCTGACCCAATCTCCTACCGTGACCCGATATCTTACCCTGACCCAATCTCCTACCGTGACCCAATCTCCTACCCTGACCTAATCTCCAACGGTGACCCAATCTCCTACCCCGTGGAGCCAAAGAACCTCACTCGCCGATTGGAACACACCACCAAAAGGAAGTGTTATTTTACCGTGGTCTTCTGTGCCCTACCTCTCTTAATTGTATGCTAACTACTACAGATGCAGTCGGGACCAACGGCTGAAGGTACTTTCCAAATCAGGAACGATTTTAGTCACCCATCGGATGGACCGAGCTAGGAGTTAACAAAAAACCATAGCATGCACCTCTTTTTAACTTTGTCTCACAATATCAAAAGCCTATGAGAGAATAGAGTAGTTGTGCAAAGCCTATGTCTGGTTTCCCAGGCCGTTAATACTTGGGTGTATTTTTGACTAGTGTAAAGAGTAGGCGTTTTTTGTCGGTCAGTGCTCCATCCTCGTCTCCAATCTTGCTTTCTACCAGGCAAAACTGGAGACAAAGGCCCATAAAATTTACCAGTAAATAAACATTGTAAGAGTTACTATTTTAGTTTCGAACCATTTCTAACTTAGCCCCAAGGGGGGCAGTTATAAAAAATGTAGCTAAATGAATACAATAACCAACGTCCTTAGTCTACCGATTTGATTTGCTCGCCTGACCAAACATTTCTGCTTCCTGTAAACGCGAATGACTTCACTGGGTGATTTCAATCCCAACTGAGTTAAGAGCACTACCCTGTTCATCATCCTCTTCTCATGGAATGATCGCATCAAACGAAGCCTGTGAGGCCATTGTGGCCATAGGCATCCTTCTCCACGGGTGTGTTTTAGTAAGAGTCTGACATAACCCTGCAGCTAGCTGTATGAATTTCACACCAGCCCGCAAGAAACAAAATTAAACAAAACCCTTTATTTACCCACAATTCATACTGTTTCATAAGCATGGGCGTCGCCATCCTTGTATTTTCGAGTACAATGTTTGAAAGTATATTGTTGGGCATCTTTAATCTTTATCACGCAAGGTTAGGTGATGCAGGAAGCTCATATTTGATTCCATTTGTGTACCTACTTACTAATAGCTATACAAACATTCAAACCGATTACTCAGTTCACTTTTAATCATACTAATATTTGTCAAATAAACACCGTCTGAAGTTGACAAGTCAGCATTAGCAATTGTGTAATTTTTAATACTTTTGTGTATAATAATATAACTGGCGGGTTTAACAATCGCGAAATCGACGGTGTCCTTGGCGGGTGTGTGGTTGTGATTGTGGCCACTGGCTCTTTGTGCGTGGTGTTGTGGCCGCGTTGCCATGGTTACCGAGTGGTACCATCACGTTTGATGGCTATGACCTACCGCTGCGGACTGGTGTGGACAAAACTCTTACAGCTTTATTAATAAACGATTAAGAGCTCTTGTTGACGACCGTTCTTCCGCCAGGTCTAGGCACGGTTTTACGGTTTTAAGCTTAGATTAAAACAAAAAGGGAAGATACGATACTGCGGCGATCTACCCTGAAGGGGTAGGCCCTGGGAGCGTAGTAATAATAATTGAAACAACTTTGATTTGATATTTTTATATTTGAAATCAGGCGAATATAATAATTGAGCTTAATCTATCAACGTATGGTTTGGTGCCTGAAGTCTATCTCCTGGAATCTTCTTTCAAAAGACAGACGATTCCCAATTTCAAATCTTTAAAATCATAACATTACCTTTTTAATATAACTGCCAGCCGTAGGCATTACATGAACAAAGAGTTTACACAAACAAGGAGGCTGTAACGTAACGGACGTTACAGTACGCTCATACTAGCATTAAATAAAATATGCTCTGACTCATCTACATGAGCAACTCACACACGCACACGTCTGTAAATAAAAATTCAATTGAGCGAGCGAGACAGAACTGTATTGAATCATACACATACGCAGCGCGAGGGAAACGGTGAGTCTGCAAGGCTGAGCTGTATTGTTGCCTTTTCTTAATAACAAAATGGCGATTACGTAAATAACTTTCACGACAAACCGTGATTATTGAAATAAAAAGTTTTATACAGTTTTACGAATGAAAAGTGTTGCCGGGGCATTTGTTATTTGATTTTGATCTATTTGTGTTCTTTATGAAAGCATCGATGGTATTGTTTTATCTTTATAAAACAGAATATACGTAATATCATTATAGCACTCAATGCAGCGTGTAAAAATGTCCAATTGTGGCTAAAACGAATTGTGATCGTGCACCACAATTTAAGCGGATCACTTCTGAGCTGCGAGTGCCATAGCTTCCCTTTTTATTTTAATCTAAGGTTTTTAGCCGTGTCTACATCCGGGCGTCAGTAAGGTATGGACACGATGGAGGGTGTTAACGACACTGGCGCTAGTGATGCTTTGGGGGTCGGTACAAACTGTACTCATGAATAAGTTTAGTCTGCACCGGCCCGTGAAGACACCGTGCCTTGACCCAACGCGAAACCGGTCGTTGACAAGCGCCCGAATTAATAAGAATATTCGAGCTGGTCGCCAACTGCCTCTGCAGAAGCTCCATGTCGCAGTGGCCAGTGCTTTTTGTCTGCGACCTTCGAAAAAAGCAACTCCCGCATTGGATAGGTGTCGAATAATTTATTGTCACGATCAGACCCGTCTTTCCCAGTGGACACTTTGGGCAAGTGCCCAGGGCCCCGCGATCGATCTAGGGCCCCCTCAGATTAAATACAAAATCCCTAGTTCCTGTTAAATCACCTAACGGAAGTCATAAGGGCCCCATTATCCTAATATGCCCTGGGCCATATGATAATACTTGATGATTTGGAATGCTTTCAACTGCTTGAAGTGCAATCAACTGGTCCCGGCTGCACTTAGAGCTGGAGATATCAGCAATCCATACTAGGCCCGCTATAAAGCCGTTTTTGCCTATCCTACCATAGGTGCCCCAACAGCAGAGATTGTTGACTGATGCCGATAAGTAAAAAGTTCCCTCCGATTCCGTCGACCTAGGCACGTCTTAGACTACCTCGACGACGAAATCACACGCGCCAACGCGCCTCCAATTCCTCCCACACAGGCCACAAACACCAACACTACACAGCTAGCAAACGTGCACACTAGCTTAGCATTAGGCAGACACCGCACCAGTTGGATAAGAGTGCGAAGACCCGGCTACACACGACACGCTATACCAGGTACAGGTACGTACCTGGGCGTTTTTCCCCGCCCCCCACGACAACGGCTAACTAGAGCCGAGGTCCGAGTCTCAGAGACGCCCTCTATTCGAGCCGACCCCCTCAGGTTCGAGTGGTCTGGAGGCTCCAGACGGAGAGGAGACTCCCCCCGTGGGGAGACGCCATCCGCCTGGAATACCTCCAGAGGCACTCGTCAATTCTCGGCTTGAGGTCCCCTTAGGATCTCGCCGTCCCCAAACCCGGTGACGCTGTAAAGGTCATCTGCGACCAACAGCATACACACTCAAAAAAAAAGTAAGAAGTACTTAGGCTACTACTTAACGTTATTTATTCATTCTCCCATAAAAATCCCATTTTTACTATAAGTATTTTGAGGAAATATAATATAGTTGATAAGGAGATAAATAACCCGTAATTTCAATTTTCAATGCTGCATTCAAACATGATTAAGAGTTATCCAAACGCGACATCTTAGTGTGCAAAACCACCGATAAAAATCTCTCTTTATTGGCGGGTCATACCAGCGTGTCAACATAAAAATATCATACTTGGAAACGCCGGTAAGCAACAATATTATTTATTTCTATGAATAATAATTATTTGAATAGTGTTGTTATTGTTAATAATTATATAAGGATAACACTTTGCACAGCGACTGTATTTACAACGAAGTGGAGCATTATTTTTGTGGCTACCGAAGTAGTAGTCAATCCATAAATCTTGTACTAATGGTTTCAAAGAACTCTTCACCTTAATTAATTTCTAACAACTTATACTGATTAACATAGTATATCATAACACCATGATATAGTAACATGAAGAAAGAAAGAAAAATCATTTATTGGCCTTAAAACGCAAGTATGTAACAATAAGAAATTATATACCGATAAACATACAGACAACAACAATATGCAGAAAGAAGAAAGGCCAACTAGGACCCTGCCTCAGCTTAATACTGTTACAATGGAACGGGAATATTCTCACCGTAACTGCGCTGGTATTCTGGCAGGGTCTGTAGGAGATTGCTAGAGTATAAAAGCTAAAATTACAAAATGGTATTAAAATATATATATATATATATATATATATATATATATATATATATACATCTTGCTGATCATGTTGCGTCTTATATGGCGATTTTTGCTATTGATCCTGCGTCCGACCGACTTGATGCGTCCGGTATACGGACGCAAGATTAACCTAGCCTCATTTTTTTTGCAAAGGCGTCTTTTGATGCGTAGAATGCATGGGCAAAAAATTGGCGTGGACTCAATTTCATCACCAGAATGCTTTTTAACGTATTTCATAGTGCGACCATCGACCGTGCGGAATTTGGAGGGCGCTACCGTGCAGTGTATATTTTGCAATGTATATTTGGGGTTCAATTTACAGATTTTATTGCGTCTTCCTGTATATATTTAAAAAAGTTTTTATCAATTCTCTACGATGATCATCTTGCATCCAGTAGGTATCTTAATTTGCGAGATCGCGCGACACCTGAGGGGCCCGTTTTGGGTGCATTTGAGAGACGAAACTGGGCGTCCTACGGGTCGCGTGTGTTTGTATACAGATCC